TTGAGTACATTATATACAGTGGCCCAACACTTCCAATTAGCCCATTTTAGGATTTTATGTATGACCCCATTGTAGCCTTCTTAGTTTTAATTAACTTATTTATACGATTCCAATTAGCTCATTAAAGAATTAGATAATTACAGAATTTTGTTTCCTCTCTTATTTGGGTCCATACACAGTAAGCCCACAAATTTTCCATATCCTTTGAAAATTCCTAATTAATTTTTAATTCCCAAAACTCTTAATCTCTCTCTAAACCCTAAATCATCCAAAGATGCAAGAAAGTAATATACATATATATATATATATATATATATTAATCAAATTATCTCAAATTTCTCACAGCATACACCACTGTTAGCTATTAATTAAAATTGAAAAAGAAAACAATGGAAGATGTTGAAATTTTGTGTATTGCATATTCTAGAGCTTTGTTATTTTTATTCCAACATATTTCTTATACCATGGGTTCAATCTATTGCTTATATATATTCATCTTGAAAATAAGCATCGCATAAGTAACATAGTTTTTTTAATTCTTATAACCAGCAGTACATGTATGGCAACAAGAAGGCATATTTGTAATATTTAATATATATATATTAGTTAATCAACATCCTGAAATTTTTTTGCTTTTTAAGTGTTGAAAGACCAGTTTCTTGATTGAAGATATTGAACAATATTCTTATCCAACTGGAATGCTCTCGAAATAATATCAGAGTTGATAGGCGGGTTTGCTCCAAAAATAGCATTTGCTACTGTGATCACTCCAGGATTTTGGCTGCCTAAACCAGCAAAAGCAACAGCATTGATCTTCCCAATATTTAACTGAAAATGAATTTGACCCAGCGGGAACACGAAAACGTCTCCAGGATGAAGCACTTTAGCAAACAATGTATTATTATTTTGATTTGATGAAACAAATCCGGCATAGAGAGTTCCCTCCATAACCACGAGGATTTCAGAAGCTCGAGGATGAATATGTGGTGGGTTTGTACCACCAGGAGCAAAATCAATACGTACTAAAGTTATGCCAAGAGAATTAAGTCCAGGTATAACGTCCGCATTAATCATAGTTACGTTTGATCCCACTTGATTTTTTGTGTTTCTGGGGACATGAAGTCCTGAAAAGAAGAAGTTTTCTGGTTTTACAAGTTTTGGGTCTTTGCATAGTTTTCCATTCACAGAAACTGAACAAAATAAAAATATATATCAATAACTTACCCATTTGAATTAATAAATAAAACAGTAATTTATATATATATATATATATGTAAACAGAAAGGGGAGATTTACTACTTACCTTTCTCGAAATCATTGATGGCAACACAGAAGTCCTGCAGAGGACTGGGATCATAAGCAGAAGCAAAGGATATTGACGCCAATTCCAAGAGGGCTATAACTATAAGAAACTGAAAACATTTCATTCTTTTAGGCCTGCTTGTGAGTTTAATTTTTCTTTGTAAATTGATCAGTTGGGCAATGGATATATAAGTATACATTTTTGCATCAAAACCAGTTAATATATAGGCGCAGCTAAGCTCGCTAAAGCCGTAATTAATGAGTCATTCAAATTTTCAAAGCAGGTATAAGTTGTTAAGGTTTTGGTATTTTAAGTATAACCTGGACGTCTAATATATATATATGTATAATAGGTGACAACGCATGATGCTCGGTGAATTCATTTTCTTTTTTCTTTTTTTTTCATCATCATTTTTGAGAAGTTGAAGATGATCTTCAAGAATCTGTGGCTTCATTTCATGTAACATTTAATAATGTTTGAGGTTTCAATGTTCCTAAATTTTGGAAGCACAACTACTTACAAGAGCTGCAGGATGCAATTATAAACTCATTGAGAGTTTGATGTGTAATATTATTTAATGTATTACTGACTAAATTTCAAAGAACTATTTTGAAATTCTAATGGATACACTACATAAATCAATATTTACGAAACTTGCAGTCACATGTTGTGTAGACTGTGTAAATATATGATTTTATTTTGGTATCAACACTATGTATATATATATAGATATGTATATATAAGTCAAAAACAATAACTAAAGCGCATCTGGCATAAGATCATCGTTGTTGTTATCATTAATGGTTGAGTTATCTCATCAAAGGTTGGTGGCCTAAAATGTGGTAAGATGATAACTAAACCTTGATTTGGTCTTCTGGCAAAGACTAATATTTGCCATCAATAACTATAAGAATTTTCCAAATAAGACCTTCTAATATTAACATTGCTTCTAAGATGTAGAGGCAGAGATCAAGTAGCAAACGTTTTACTTCAATCAATTAGGTTAAGTGAGAAAACATTATACTTAAATCAATTTTTACAACTGCAGTGACTGCCGCCATGTATTTTTTTAAAGCAGCCATTCTAATAGAAGAGTCAATTCAACCAATGGGATTATCTTATCACCACCTCTAAAAACAAAGTGCATAAAAGGAACAGATAAGTCATTCGAGGACTCCTTTTATGACCCGGAAGAAAGTTCATATAATGTTTCATCTAACGTTTGTCAATCAAGTCAAACCGTTTATTATACTGATGACGCCAGAAAATTTAACAATGGACAAACAAAAGTCTACTGCAAGTTTGGGAACTGCTATGGATATAAAATGAGTGACAAAGGTCATCTCTTTCTGGTTCTACCAAAAAAACTACAACTGGTTTCCTTTTTCCCAAAAGATCTAGACACACCCATTTTAAGTATATTAACAGCTTTGGCTAAATAAATGCTTCGAGGTTATAAAAAATACAGCAAAGTTTACCAAAAGAGTGGCAAAACATCCCATTCTTCTAATAGTGCGATTGCTAGTTCAAACATAATCCTACGCCTATATGCTCTAAAAGGCTTTCCCTTCAGAAAGTATGACTCGAATTCAACATTCTATAACACATAAAAACTATAATCATGTCAAAAGGGTATGTCGCTCTAGTCAACTAGTCTTCAGACTATAAGGGATTGATATCCTTGCACGATTGACTCTCACCCCCAAATAAATCAATAACAATTTGACATCCAAAAGGAGAATAGCTAACTGCATTAGCCCCTTTAGCTTCGTAATATTCTCACATCCCCACCTATTACAACACCTGTTCCCCAGTAAGTGGAACTTAATGACACAGACAATATACTCTGTAAATTTGTGTTCTTTCAAGTCTCTTTACATCTGTTATCACATTAACATATGAGGAAGCTCCTAAGAAAAGGATTTGTTTCTCCAGCCGCAAATATTGCAACTATTGATGTCACCAGATACGGATATCAAATTGATTATGCATCAGATAACAAAAATTCACCCTATACTCTTAATCTAATCACAAAGATCACACAACTGCAACAGATACATCCCAAAATTCAGCCAGATCCAACTTCGTAAAAACAACTTTATAAATGGCAAGACATTGCATTATTGGTGCAAGAATCTCTCAACTACGGGCAACTTCAATCCCGCAATTACTAGGCACCAAGATTCCTAAATGTGAATTACATGCTGCTAAATGCAAAAATCAAAGAACATTCTCATGCGAAAACACATGAATGATATTGACATAAATATTGTGATTAGCTCTGAGCTTACCAAAATTTGACACAAAACATAATTAAACACAATTTGTAACACAATGCACAATCGAAAATCAAAATGGTATGCCTCAATTAACAATCCAGAAAACCAGCAACAACAACTGCTATTAACCAAGATCACACAAATAATTACTTTGCATTATTAAGAATCCTGATTAGATACTAAAACCTAGCCAATTAACACTCCAAAACCCTGCAACAACAACCGCAAATAACCAAGATCACCAAACTAATTACTTGGCATGAATAAGAATTCTGATTAAAAGCATTAAATTTCTATAGCAAACTGGGAACAAAGTAACGGTATCCGGATTTAGCAAAATGAAAAGGACAAGCCAGTGTACCAATATCAAAAATTAACATTCCAAGTCTCGAAACTAAATAACCAGAATCTTAAACATGAGAGAACCACAACATCTAGAAGAAAACCTCAACGGTAACTCTTCTGGAACCTGGCACGGGCACCACGTCCACCAAACTTCTTAGGCTCGCACCTCCTGGGGTCAGCTACGAGAAGGGTCCTATCGTAGCTGACCAGAATATCTTTAATCTCTTTCTTCTGTTGCTCATCCACGAACTTTTGGTAGAAAGCCACAAGAGCCTTGGCGATGCTTTGCCTGATGGCATAGATCTGAGAGGTATGCCCACCACCCTTGACACGAATCCTCATGTCCACTCCAGCAAAACGGTGACGACCCAGAAGGAGGATTGGCTCATATGCCTTGAACCGAAGGATCTCCGGCTCCACCAGCTCGATCGGGCACCCATTGATCTTAATCAGTCCACGGCCACGCTTGCAGTGGGTCACTGCCACCGCCGTCTTCTTGCGGCCAAAACACTGCACGGACTCCACTATGGCCTGAGTTGCCATGGTTAGGGTTTTGCTTTCGGCGAGCGGGAAGAAGAGACACACAAACCCTAACTTACTACTAGAATGAAAGAGACGAACATTGTGAAGTGCTGGTTTATATACCAGGCAGGAAGGGTGCCTAGGGTTTTTGTAGAATAAAATTATCCTTGTGGCCTCCGGCTCAGGCCCAAACCCACGCACAGACAAAGGCCCAGACCCAGACGAAACCCCAGAACCAGGCCATGGCCCAGACTAAGGCCCAGATTCAGACCCAGAAACAGAACCCGACCCAGGCCCCCCTTGCCAGGACCCATACCCAATCTCAGGCCCGGACCCGGACACAGGCCCAGAACCAGACCAAGGTCCAGACCCTGGCCCATACCAAGCCCAAGGCCAGGCTCATACCAATGCCCGGACCAGACCCGGTCCAAGGCTCAAAACTTGTCCAAGCCCATAACCGGACCCATACCAGGCCCCGCCCTAGGCCCCGACCCAGACCGAGGCCCATAATAGGCCCGTCCGTGGACCAGGCCCATACTTCGGCCTAGACCCAGACCCAAGACCTGACCCGGGGCCTGACCCAGACGCAAGCCCTGACCCGGGCCCTTACCCAGACCCAGGCCCTGACTAAGGCCTACACCCGGGCCCAGACCTGGTATAGGCCCAAACTCGGACTCAGACCCTGACATAGACCCGGACAGGATCCAGACCGAGACCCACAAACGGACCCAGGCCCAGGCCCCGACCTAGGCCTGGGCCCAGACCCCGGCCCAGTTCCAAATGCAAGACACCACCCAAATCCGGGCCCAGACCCAACTCTGGGCCCGGTCCCGAGTGAAGCCCAGAGAGCCCAAGCCCAGCCTGAGACCCAGACCCGAACCCAGACCTAGGCCCAGTCCAGGGCACAGTCTCAGACCCAGCCCCAGACTACGGGCGCTGACCCAGACCCAGGCCCTGACCCAGACTCAGGTTCATGCTCAGAGGTAGGCCCAAATCGAGGCCCATTCTTTAGACTCGAACCCAGGCCTGTAACCAGGCCCTCCCCCAGACCCAAGCCCGGACTTAGACCCAGACCCCGGCCCAACCCATGCCTCCGGGCCAGACCCAGACCCAGGCCCAGACCCGGACCTATACCTATATCCAGACCCGGAACAGACCCGAACACAAGGTCGGATCCGGTCTCGATCCGGACCCAGACCTAGGCCCACCCACGGACCCAGGCCTCGGCCCAGCCCCAATTCCAGGCAAACCGGGGACCCAAACCCGAGCCCAGAGCCAGGCCCAAAACCAAGCTTAGGCTTAGACCCGGACCAGGCCCAGACCCGGAGCCAGGGCCACTCGAACCTAACCCAGTCCCAAACCCATACCAAGGCCCAGAACGATCCTAGACCCAGTCTAAGGCCCTGCCCCGGGCTCAGATCTACTCCAAGGCCCGGGCTCAGGCTTAGTTCCAGACCCGGACCGGACCCTGACCCGGTCTATGACTCCGGTCCGGTCCCCGGCCAAACCCGGGCCTAGCCCTAGTTCTAGGCCCAGCTTCCGACCCAGACCCAGGCTTAAGCCTGACCTAGGTCCAGGAACCTCTACCTCGCTTTTTATGTCCGTGAAAAGTACTATTTTTTTAATTTTTTTATTTTTTAAATGAATTAGTTTATAACATAAATAATTGAAAATAATGTGGTACTAGGATTTTACTAGTAAATTAAAATTCTCCTTCCGCTCTTTCAAATTATTTTAATCATTTGAATTTTTTGTATAAAACATTTAATTCTCGCTTAAATTTTTATTAAATTAAAAAATATATAATAATTGAAAGACAATATTACTTATTTTTAACCCTATGATGCAACCCGACAGTGTAGAGACAGTGACCGAATAATTTCCACCCGGCATCAATGGCCAGACTTCAGCCGGCTACCAGGCCACACTATGACCACTTGGACTAATCCGTCCGAAGCATTGACGAAAGGGCTCTTGGCAATTTCTAGTGCAGGAATATATATGTGCCGGTGAATCTATTACCCAGCAGTTAGGAGATCAAGTAAGCTTGTAAATATATACTAGGACTCTTTCATCCAGAAACTGCATCTCAACTTTTCACAAGAGCAGCAGCTGACCCGGAAGCTTCAAAGTTAAGCCAAAAATATTTATAAAGGGGCAGGTTTGTAAATTACCCATTCCTCTTACCAAGTTTTCCATGGTTCTACCAAATGTAGAGATTCAATCCATCCGCATGGACATTATAAACACATCACAACTGCTTCATCTGAATAACTAACGAATCTCTTCCTAGATATTACTATATCCCTTTTTTTACTGTTCTCTCTTGCTTTTTTATCTACAATCCCGTCTCTTCCCTCTCCTATCTATCGTAAGGGAATTCCATATCATTCTCAGTAACTTTAAAGTGCTGCAGCTGCTGGCCTGAGCAATGAAGATTCCACATTTTGAAGTAAGACCTTTCCAGATTTCTCACCTGCAATAATCAAAACTTGTATCTCAGAACTGATCAAATAACACTAGCTTAAAACAATTCACAAAATCTCCTTTATCACCAAAGCATACCCAGCGAGCAGTGTCAAATAGAGGACAAGTCATTCGACCTGCCTTCAGCCTATTGGTAAGAGCCTGAAGCTTTGGCCTATTCAATGCCAAAGAAACGGCCTTCTCTTCATATTCCTTCATGCTGTAAAACAAAGGCAAAACCACAAATAAATATGCTGTACATTTTTTATAATTGACCCAAAAAACAAAAATTTAACACAAGCATACAAACATATCCGACAAAGGTAGATATGTGAAGTGCCTAAAACACTTGTGGTGTTCATTAGGAAACCAAATTATCAGTTAAAATGAAAAGTAAAGAGTAAAATCATCTCGTCAACATTGAGGCTCTAATTATTTTAACTTGTTACTGACAATGAACAATGCATTGGCATGACACCCTGCAAACAGGGAAAAAGTCATGTCCTCCTTGGCAACATGTATTTGGACCAGTGGAGATAACATATTACTGTTATCTTAAAGTTGGACAGACCTACATTTCCCAAAATATTCAGAATGCTTACCTGCTGACAATCATTTCTTCACCCAGACCAGTGGCAAGGCAAAGTGATCCAGCAACCCTAGTAGCCATTTTCTCAAGAGGTAATGTCACCATAGGCAACCCAGCCCATAATATATCAGTGCCTGTTGTATGCGCATTGCATAGCGGCCTACAAGGAAACTCAACTGTAAATATCAAAAATCTAATAGAAGTGCCACATGTATAAGCAGCTTGAATGCAGCACGAAAGGAAACTGGACAGGGAAAAAAGTTACGTGTCAAGGAATAGATCTGCTAAAGCACTGCGTCTGATATGCTCATGTTTCATGGCGACATCTGTGAAAATTATCTGCTCTGGATGCACCCCTTGTGCGACAGCATCTGAACAAAAACAATCACCAATAAGACCACAACAAGTAGGAACATATTTCGCAAAGCACAGTAAGAAATGGTAGGGGAAAAAAGAAATAAGTAGGCATTTCAAAGGGAAATAAACAAAACACTGACATTGGCGAAGCCTCATTTCTCCAGCAGCTGGGAAACGGAGGAGCCACAGTGCAGAGTTGGGTACACGTTTAAGAATGTTGCACCTAAATGAAACATAATTAGTAAAATTCAAGCCCATGCATCATTGAAATATGAAAAAGTAACTTTTGGATCTCCTTATCTAACCAAGTATTAAAGACTTCAGGATCCATTTTGTACAGCTGGTTGAAGCATGCAAAAATAAATTTGTCTTCAGGGAGACCATAGTCTGATCGCTTATGCTGGCACTTTGGATCTAAGACATCCCGATTTTTCTGCAAACAATATTAAAAATATTTGAAATGAGAATCCCAACATCTAACATAAGGACAAGACTCTTGGAATTTTCTTATGAAACTGACCTGCTTATAATCATTCACAAAGTAGCAATGGGGTAGATGGACAAGCTTTTCAGAATAAATGTGTGCATAGCGCAGAGGCGAAACAAACTGAAAATAAAACATATTACTTTTAGATAAAAAAAAAACAAATACATAAGTTGAAATCATTTAGCGCAAAGGACAATCTCTCACCTCATCGGTGACCAAGTAATCAATATAAGTAGCCCCTGTTGTCCCAGGGAACCCCATGTAGGAGACCTGTATCGGTGCAGGCTGCATAGCAAAGATTTCGTTCCTAGCCCCCTAGAAAATAGTTATAAATCAACAATTGTTAACATTACAGTGAAAGAAAAACGTTCTAGTACATGGAAGTAAGTTCAATAGCAGGTTCACAATCACAGATGTCAGAAAAACACCAGCATGTCCAGACAAAAAACAAAGAAAAGTTGCGATAATTTCAACAATCAAATACATATCCAAATGTGATTAGGCTTCCAGTGACATTATGAACCTGAGCAGGAAAATTTTTTCAAATACGTTCCTAATGCATTAAATCTAAAGATAATGTACCCATCAATAGTAGGATATTTCAGTTATTATTCCAAAAAGTATTTCTTTTTTAAGTTGAAAGCTCATCAATCAACCTATATTCAGAATTTTAGTATACTCCCCAAGCAAAGAGAGAACCTAATTCCTAATAAAAATTGTAATTTCCAATTACTCCTTGAGTAAGTTAAATCATTAAACTTGAAATCCTCAGGGAGGGATAGTAAATGAATCATACCTTTGTATAGCCATTGAGATTAACAAGAATCTGTATTTTGTCCTCATTAATCATTTTAGCAATCACATCCGATGTCATAGCAGACACATCTATAAAATGCTCTGCTTCGGACTGGATACGCTGCCTCCATTCAGTACCATCATTTTGACTCAATGCATAGCAGAATACCTAGCCAGAAGTTGTCATATCAAATCAAAAGATAGAAGGATGTAGAGAACTAATGGAGCTCCTAAAATAATGAGCAAAGCCAGTTCACAAACCTCAACATTCTCTTTGTTGTGCATGCCAAATACAGAACCCATAAGGTGTGACAAGGGATGGTTACCAAAATCACTGCTGACGTACCCAACTCTTAGCCTCTCAAATCCACCATCACGCTTAACAGGAACTGGAGCAGGATGGTTGAAGCGAGGAAGTTGAAAACGTGACGCAACTATCGAGCAATGAGCAGCATATTTACGGCTGAAAAATTAGAGGCAATACGTGAGAAAACGGGGAATAGAAATAATACCTTATCCATTTCTGTGAATAGCAGCATCTAGAGAGATCTTACCTAATTTCAAGTGCAAGAATAGGATCAATAGGGTATGCTATAGCATGGAAAGGCTGCACACTAGGTAGAACTGACATCTGAAAGAATAGAAAAATAGCTTTAGTTGAATTGAGAAAATAGCATTCAGGTGCTAGCAAGTTCATAAATTATAAATGGAAACTTGGAAGTCTGGGTAAAGCATAGGGCAGCTAAGCAATGAGAGCAATTCATACATTGATCTGCCTCCTGATAATTCCTTCAACTTCAGCAAACATGTTATCCCGGTCATCCCAACAGCACACACACTGAAAAACATTCAACCAGATAAATTAATTTACTTCAGATCAGATGCCTTCAATAAATTCACATACATGGTGACATAACTCTAAATAAGCAAAATGCAACAGAAGTTATAAGAAAAACCAAAACATAGAGAACATGCAGATCAATAAGTTCAAAACTGGAATCAAATCAATTAGAAACGGAGAGCACTTATGTCTTTATAGTTCAAAAATCCAGAAAAACAACAATATGGAAAGAGCATTTAGTAGTCTCTACTACAAAAATGATGATGACCATGATCATGGTATAGCGAAACGGTACCAAAATCTTTGAGAATATGTAAGTTCTTTCCTACAACTAATACTCAAATGCACTTAAAAAGATAATATTCAAGCAACAGCAAAATTGAAATGTGGTCAAGGTAGACCACCTGCAATCTAAAATTAACCACATTTTTAAACACATCTATAACTACAATTTACGCTCGGGCAGAAGATTAGCTTAGCTTTCTTTAAGGCATTGCTCAATCATTATGCAACTATTAATATTGCAGCACACAATGACATACCTGCAGCGTGTGTAGAAGGTTACAAGTTGCTTCAGGGAAGTCTGGTCGAAGAAGCAGAGCCTGCTTATAGCTCTTTATAGCAGCCTCCACATGTCCACTGTACATCATATACATATGTCAACTTCGTGTGACTACCATAGAATTTTTCACCACCAAATATGACAAGACCTTTTCACTGGACCAATTTTGCTCTTCTTTTCGTATTCAAAAAGAAATCGAGTTCTCCAAAAATGTTACTCAAAGTTTAGATTGAGATTCACCAATATTTTGCGGCAGCCTCCCTATGTCTGCACTCTATCATATACATAAATTAATTCATGTGACTACCATAGTCTTTTCCAGACCAGATATAACAAGACCTTTTCACTGACCAATTTTGCTCTTCTTTTCATATTTGAGGAGAAATTTAGTTTTCCATAGATACAATACTCTAGGTTTGGATTGAGATTCACCAATACCTTGCCTTCCTTATAATCTAGTAATAAGAAGCTGAAAATAAGATCTTCTTGTTCTGGGCTTCTAGGGGCACGTATGAGTAGGACTCTCAGTGATTGAAGCCACTGAGGTTCAACGCATCACCTAATTTTTTAGGGCGGTAAGGAGGTACCAAGCAGAAGCTCACTGGTCCCTCGAATGCCAAATCATTAAGCTAAGAGGAGAAGTCTTCCGAAAAGAAGAATTAGAACCTAAAGCCGCGGAATTTTAAACAAAAGCAACAAACTGTTCAAGTGCATCAATAACGCAAAAACCTTCTGAGATAAAAAAATAATATTTAACAAACTATTTCCACTAGTAAGGCTTAGAAATGAAAACAAGGAAAACAAAGTCCATTAAACAGAATAATTCTTTTTCATATAAACTAAGGAACACTTATAAAATCACTAATAGCTGCTCTAACATCACTGAATTGTAACTTAGAAAACTAAAAAGGCAAAGCAGCGGTCAGAAGAGCAATACCTGTCTTTGTATGCTGAAGCCAAATTTGCATGAGCTTCAGCCATGGTAGGACGGATATTGATAGCACGTATATAATCTTGAATTGCTTCACTTACTCTACCAACCTCTTTGTAAGTATTGCCCCTATTTACAAGTCCGTCAGCTGCCAAGGGTTCAATACGAAGAACCTCGTTGTAACAGGATATTGCATCTCCATAATT